TCTGGAATAGCTTGAATGACTTCTTTGAGGAAAGGTGAAGATGACTCTTTACCGTGAACATAATGAGCTGCCACAACAAAGTCCAACAAATTGCTCTTGGCCGGGAGGCGTCTTTTTAGGATATATTAGCCTGAGAGCAAGCACTTGCTATCAGCTCTGCAGGACCCGCGTTTCTCTACCCGAGGGAATACTTGAGACAGGTCAGGGAGGGTGTTCACCAGGGCTCAAGTCAAGTCACCCAAAAGTCATGTTGCTCAAAACCAGAGTCAAGTTGCCTGAAACTTTTAGTCTTGTTGCCAGAAATCCTGAGTCATGTCGCCCGAGGAAACAAATACTGAAAAGATCTAACTGACAGACTGTAAATGGGTAATGAAGTTGAGAAATCTTTATCAATAAAGCGCTGTTTGTTCCTAATAATACCATGAAGATGATGATCAGAAAAGAAATATGTTCTAGTGATGACAACAAAATGAAGCTTTATTCATTTGATATGAACTTGTTTTGAACTCACAAACGTTTTGTGAATTTGAGAAATCTTTGTCACTTATGCAGTGTTCATTTCCGCCAAAACCATGAAGACTTTGACTAGTATACAGAACTGAAATATGTTTGAGTAATGACCCTAAAAGCATTGTTCGTTTTTGTAACAACAATATGAAGAATTCTTCATTTCTATAACAACAAAATGAAGTCTTGCACTTTTTAAAGGGCGTACGTTTCTACCAAACTGTGGTGCTGTGTTAGTCAAGGCCTAATATTTTTCTGTGGGTGAAGAAACACTTGTGCCAAAGCACCTATAATAAGGACCTGCTCACCACTGACACAATCTCACTGCTGTTTCCAAAGTTCCTTGAAATAAGTGATCTTCAGCAGTAACTCTCTCTCGGTATAGCTTTCTATACAATCGTTGTTCCAACAACAACATTTACCCCAACTACCACATAAGTGAGTATATATTTATTCACAAAATGTTCTGGAACATTCCAGAAGCTTACAAAATCAGACGACCGTGAGGCAGGAGTCTGATTTGTCAATCATGAGTATGGTTAAAGGGCATGTAAACCCAAAAATACATGTTTTTCTTATACTATGTAAAAAGTGGCGTAGAAAACGAATTTGAAATTAGTTTTGTCCAATTCGACTTATTTTAGGAGAAAATCGGCATTTTCAACTGAAATTCCATTTCCGGTAAAAACAATAGCGAGAAGTCGTGACGTAAGCGGTGGAACCAAAATATTGCGCAACACATATTCCCCAGTAGAACTGGTGTGGGAGTTCGTGTAAGTAGCGGTAGTTCGGAAGATGTTTTTTCAGAAGATAGCGACTCGAATGCCTTAAGCTTAGTACATGACAGCGCTGGGGATAATCCAGAATCTTCAGGAGAGTCTGGGCCACGTCCTTAACAATATGAGCCGCGTAGGGTTCACCGAAGCGATCCGCACGAAGACAGTACAGAACATGTCGACAGCGATGCGACCGTCTCGGAAACTCGGACTGGTATTTAATTTACTTTGTGATTTATTTGTATTTAACATGAAAATGCAATAAAGCGAGGGTACAATCTAAAGGAATGCAACATAATTTTTTTTAACTTGAGCTTCTGAAATTGTTTTATATAAAATTATCAAAGGTGCGAGTGTGGAACTTGTCAACCAATGCCGACAACTCGTGAAAGTGTTTGTTGTAAGGAAATCGGGCAATTGTGGCAAAATGGCCTGAAACCCAGATAAGTTGTATCACTGAGCATCCAGGTTTTCAGTCAATTTGCCTCGATTTCTGGGTGCTGGAGACGGCTAAGTACGCGTATAGGCAGCAGCAAGGCACAGATAATCACACCGGAAACGACTAAGCTAAATATTTTCTATTTCATCTGTTTTGTTACATTTTGAGATCGATTTACTTGAGTTGTTTCTGCCATTAATTTAATAATACAGTACTAGAGCTAGTTGTTTTTTTTCGCTTCTTTCCTGGCAGGAAATTTCGCTAAATTGCCTACAGATAGCTTGTTCGTTGGTGTTGGGGATATCTCGGCAAACACTTTAGGGTCGCTGTGCTATCTTGTGCGGTAAACAATATCCTTCATCTCAGAAGCATTTCCATCGATAAACAAGTTGTATCATGTACATTTCCTTGTGTGGCCTTCATAATTATCCAACCCTGTTCGTGTTTGCTTCGATTTGAAATATTGAAAAGATAGTTTTGCAAGCTGAAATCAGGATCTTTTAAGTTGTACTCAAAATGATGAATATTGTCCTACTGACCTTTGAATGTATTTTCACTGCTGTGAAAACCGTGACACAAATTCTTCTGCTGTTTCTCTGCAGGGTTTCTCAAAGGAAGCACCAAGCGGGGCTGGCTTGGATTTTCTTATAGAACATAAGGGTTGATCATGGGATCCTGTATAGAATTCTTTGTATCGAACCGACAAAATTCCAGATCACGTTATTATACACTGATATCAACGAATTCTCTTTCTTTGATACGTGTTTCGAATTCAGGCAAAGGTTCAGACATGTCAGTGTCTTTTACGGGCTCAGCACTGGCTCCCAAACAACTGGCTTCCCCATAATATTTCATTAGATGAGAAAAAAGATGTTTTTAGAGAACCAATAAAGCTATTGTTGTTTAATTAACGAAACGTTTTCATGTAAATCGATTTTGTACTTTCTCTGTTGACCTCTAACTTTTGAAGAGCTCAACTTCTTTCTCAATTCGGTCGGCCACTTCCGAATCCTCGTCGTCTGCCGACTGTATGGGTTGTTTTTATACTTTCGAATAATTTGCTTCTGGTGAGGCCTGAATCGTCGGTACAGCACCAGGAAGAAAAATGACTGCTACAAACAACAGAACGTTCGAACGGCTCGACGAAATCGGCTATTTTCACTTGAACAAATTTCACAAATTGTCGCTTCAAATTTGCGTCATTTGGGAATATTTGCATTGTATGCCCAGTTTTGTTTGAATCAGTACAAAACTGGACGACACAACGCTTCACCATTACGAAAAAACCGAATATATGGAAGCAAACTGTAAGTAAAAAAATCATGACGAGACCAGCAAACAACGGCTGTAGAAAAGACTCCTTCGTGCCTCACGCGATTATAAAAAGAGACTTTGGAGGATCCACCAGGAAAGATGGCGCCATTCAAGATGGCGAATGTTTCGAATTTGGAAGAGCTTTTACAAAGTGAAAATGGACTTTTGAGAATAAACGAATGGTACTTTTAGTGTACTTGATATATTTACTAAACATTTATGTGAAAAGAAAATGAACGTTTTTTGGGTTTACATGCCCTTTAATACTGTAATTGTCCAACTCACCAGAAGCTCAAGAAATAGTTCCCAAGACCCCACATCAGTACCATGAGAATAGTAAATAAAGTACACAACTCCGTCTCCACCATCTTGAATTGGTAAAAGGGGACCGAGGGAAGAGGTCAGCAAATCTACATCACTAGCAGGTTATACATATACAGCCATGTGATCAGGACCTAAGGCAGTCAGAATTCAGACACTGGTGAGATATGAATGCCTGACATGACAATGTAATGAGAAATAAGATGCTGGTCACTTCAAGGGGTCAAAAGCTTAAAAGAGAGAAACCTGACCTGATATTGAGAATTTAAATGAGTAAACTTGATACTTTTTCTTCCTATGTAGCAATTTTACTTCCATTGGAGATGTTTTGACTTGGGGTGGAGGACCAGGGAGATACCAAGATTTTCTGATTGCAAATATAACACTTCACAGTTAAACAGAGTTAGAGATTGAACTAAACAGTAATTTTAAATGTTCAGAATAGTAATCAAATAAATTCAGAGTTAGGTGGGTGCAGGATTCTTTTTTATATTTAGGATCTATGGAACAAGTATAACAAATCGCCAAGTAAATGTCACAAACTAAATGCTATAAGGATGTCAGGGTAACAGTGAAAGAAAAAAAGTGTGATGGCTCATGGTACCTGTTTACTGTAGCTTTGTTATCAAGGATAGGTAAGCAAAATAAATAAATCACCAGGGGTTTCAATAGAATCAGGCAATCGGCAAATCTCGTCGCCTCCTTCCTAAATCATTGCCGCCTACTTTCTGACATAAAATTTCTTTTGAGTCCCTTAAGTCTCTTGAGTGACACAATTTCGCACCTAATAACTATGAAATATGGAATAAAAAGAGAACGTTTTCTTTGCTATGTCCATTTTTTTCTGTTGCTGTATTGGTGTATTTCTGGAACGTCACAGTTGTATTAACGATTTCAACACGCAATAGTTTAGCAACCTCGTTCCCATGGCCTTTTCCCTGCCATGTTGATTAAACAGAGGAGAGGGACTGGTGTCAATTCTTGCCTCGATCATATTCGGTCTTCAGTTCCCGTCCATGTGCTTCGACGATGGAGCCCAGGCGTAAACGAACGGGAGGCGGCAGTATTTTACCAAATTTTAAGAAAAGATCAAGACCCGAAACAGAAACAGGTATGTTAACTAAATTGTAACCATTGTTTTCCACTCATAGTTTTGTCCAGTCGTCGAACTCGCCGCAAAAAATCAAAGTCAAGGATTTTTTGACGGAACGAGGACGTCACAGATGTGAATTAACATGTTTGGTGCGCTTAGTTACAAAGTTATTACCTTATAACTTACAAAACCGTCGAGGCAGTAACAACCCATTTAGTCTGGATGTAAAAGCCACAAAATGCGAAAATTTTGAATTACGACACCTTACATTCTTGTAAGTTTTATTATTACCTAACCTTGTGTATATTAAAAGGCCTACAGGTATACCTGTTTTTGTCGTAGGCACTACCTTAAATGAGATTGAGCTAACAAGTACTTCATCTGCTGGGCCGTCAGTCACCAGTGCGAGTGAAAGTAGCCAATTGCTGGCAAATAAAGTCCTTAATACGTCTGATAATCCACAAGCAGTTGTAAGTTACAACCAGATTTCATTGTCAACCCAAGGCTGTAAGAAAATTGGAAAGTCTTTCAAAAAGGCTTGTAGAACCAGATGGCTCTCATGGAGAAAGCTATAGACGATGTTTACCATGATTTTTTCTCTCTGACTCAGACACTTCGCTTGTTGAGTGAAGATGGAGATTCAATGGCTACTGGTCTCTTGCAACAGGTTGGAAATATCAAGTTTCTTTCAGCTGTATATTTGTTACACCTGGTTCTACCCCTACTTGCTCATCTGAGTAAAGTGTTCCAAGCAGGTTCTGTGTCATTTGCAGCAATTGGCCCAGCTATCAACTACACATTTGAGGCGCTTGAGACCGTTTCAAAAGAGAAGAGGCCACTAAGTGCACTACAGAAAGATCTTTGCACGGATGGCAGGCTTTCAGTTTGTGATTTATCTTCTCCTTTGGCCCATCAGGAAAAAAATCTAACTAGCCTGACTGACCGGTATGTCAAAGCTCTAAAGAAGAACATCAAAAACCGATTTGGCGAGAGCGATTGCTATGCCAACAAACAACATGATGACCAAGTCTCCAACAGAATGGCTTGTAGAGCGGATGCTCTCTATGCGTTCAACGTATCAGCATTTTTTCCCTGGAATGCTCTGCGTTGCCGAGGTGTGCCTTTCTTTGCCAGCAAGCAACACCTAGCCTGAAAGGGGCGCCTCAGCAATCAAGCGCATTTAGACGCGGATGAGAAGCAGAATCAAAGATGATATGCTTGAGGCACTAATGCAAATTTCTATATAATGGTCCAAAGCTAAAGGAATGCACAAGTGTCGTGAAGGAGTCAGTTCAACAGTGGTTAAAGAAGCCTAGAAGAAGGCTGGCCGAGAAGACTGCAACTTGTAATCGTAACACCTCTACAGTCTCAACGAGTGATGCTGCAGTTCGAGTGGAGATTTCTGAAGATGAAGAGCCAGAGAATATTGATGACAGCAAAGTGGTTCAGATTGAGGAGGAAGGTCAGCTTCAGCTTGAGGTTAATACTGCTATTACAGTGATGAAACTAGCAGATGGTGGAGACAGCGACTCAGATAGTGCTTTTGAGTCGGACAACGATTATGACTAACGATCTGTACGTCAAATTGGACAATGATTATGAGTAACGTTATGTACGTCATACTCTGTAGTAATAGTCTGGCAAAGCGTTACATGGCTTTATCCCGGCTAACAGGTCCTTGGCTAGCAGTGCTTCATTAATCCAATGCTGCTTTCGTTTATATACTTTTTTTTAGGTAACGAGCAGTTATTAGTAACTTTTATAAGCCATGGAAACATGTGGAAATTAGTTCTGGAATATGTTAGTGACTAGCAGTAGTGAGAATAGACTGATTGTAAGACAACAAACCAAGATAAACTTCCTATTTCATTTGATGTAATGGTTCACATTGCTGTATACTGTATGTAATGAAAAATTCCCAAGATACAGTATTCTATGGTTGATGTTATCCATATATTAAAATTTAACTTCACCTGAAAAACCAAATACAGTTGTCACTAATACTGTCGTCACTTAATCAATGTTTAGTGCTGAATTTGATGCCAGAATGCAGGAAATGGTACCCCCCTAGGGGGAGGGGCCTTCCCTGAGTCACATGGTATGAAAGGAAGATCAACACTTAGATAACACATGGTCCCCATGATGACGTACAATCTCTGGAAATCTGGGCACATACAGCTAATGTTTTGCAAGAATATTTCTTTGCCATTTTCTACTGACCCTACCCTTTCCAGATTTAAAGCAAGGCTGTGTATTTTCTGCCCAACTTGCCTAACGTATTAAGTTAGCAAAGCCTGACAGCTTGTATTCTATTCCATACATTTATTTGATGAAATTCCAGCGAATTGGCCATGCAATGAATAACCAGAAACCAATAGATGAACATTGAATGAGCAAGTACCACATAACGCATGAGATGCTTCAACGGCAGGTAATAAGGAAAACCTCCATAAACTCCGTTCTGAGGTGCAGGCAAAGCCTTCTTAAACATGGGTATATCACTGAATGGCTGTATGCCAAGATAGTCCAGTGGAGTGATCCAGGCACCTGCATCTTGTTGAACCACTTCACCAGCACTATTGTAAAATGTTCTTGATGTGTGCTGCACGTAGAAAAAATGTAGATGAGAATTAACTGAAAAACATCTTTTGGTTAGCGTCATCAATGGTGTGAACATATCCACTTTACAATGGTTGAATAAACGGTTGTGAAAATGTACACTCCCGTATGATTTTAAAACCCTTAAAAAATTATAATCTATGCTGAAGGCTTGAATAATTAAAATGCAAGCACGCATGGTGTCGGGGCTTTGCAACTTGCATTTTCGGCAAATCCTGGCAGGGGAAGTTGAGACATGTTTCAAAAGAAAAGGCTTCAACTTTGTTTGAAGTTGTTTCAGGTCATTGTAAGAATAAAGGAAATGATCATCGATTAAGGAAGTTCTTGATTGTCAAACAAATTCTCGTTGTCAGTACAATAGGAAATGCAAAGAGATCTGGTGCAAAGGGTTAAACTTTTTATATGAGAACCTCTGATCTGAATACAATTTTTGTCTGTTCATTCTGATCGCTTCAATCTGGAGACTAGCATACTGTGTATCTATGCATGTACTATTTATTTGACTGTTCACATTGTCTTCTTATCACCAAAATTGGCTAAAACAGTGAAATTGGACAAAACACACAAATTAAGTGAATAAGTTCAACTTGTAAAAGTGGTCAAATAAGCTGAGTAGGTTAAACTAAACAAATTGAAGGGATAAGCTAAATTTGTTTCAGTGGTTAAAATAGTCAAACATGCTGATTTGCTTCTACTAGAAAAAATGCCAAAACTAGCTGAATTGGTTCAAGTAGTTAAAGTAGTCCAATTAGTGAAAGAGTTAGTATAATTCCGCAGAATAAAGACACTTGTGAGAACAAAAGTTAGTGTAAGTAATGACTGAATGAATATCTTCTTACCTGAAAGAACCCCCTTTTAGGGCACTGATTGATGGCTGAGTAAGGAAATGACAGTCCTGAGAGCAATATAACCATTCCTACAGTGGTAACAAACAGAAGAAATATGGCTGGAAGCTTGAGGTTTCCCAGAACATACTCAGTGCTAACCTAGAAAAAGGTAAATTTAAATAGAAGCATATTAGAACTTTGTGGGAGATGTGTTGGCCAGATGGTTAGCTTGGTGAACTCTAAGTTGAGAGGAGGTCTGGCTTTGAGACCTCACCAGGTCATTGGGTTGTGTTATTGAGCACGAAACATACCACTTTCTCTGTGCCCCCCTCTCTCTCTCTCCATCCAGGGCTCAGTTGTTCAAAGCTGGGTTAAGATAACCCAGGGTTAGTGTGAAATCTGATTTCAGATCATTCAGTAGAATTCTTTTTGTCTACAATTTGATGATTGAATGCTCTAAAAAGTGTAAAGAAAATTATCCCAAAAAAAGGCTTTTGAACAAAGGAATAAAGAAACCAAGAGTAAAATCTAAACATAAACTGTATGTTAGTGCCAATCACCTTTCAAACAATTGGGCCCAGAAGTAAAAGTAGGTGCCAACCATGTTTGTCAGGGAAGCCTGATGAAATGCTAGGGGGGGGGTCATCCTTATGATGGACTGGCATCCCATTCAGGGGGGAGTACCAGTAATGACACTTCTAGTTGCTACCTGCCATAAAAATTGCAATAACCTCTAACTGGATGGGTTGCTTTTGTTTTTTTGCTTTGTTGCAAACTTTCCCTTCATTATATTCTTCTCTGAACTTTAACAGTATTAATCAGCAAATTGATTGAATTTCACTGAGCACACTCACCATATAAGAAATCAACAGCACAACACCAAAGGCACACAGGACACTTATAAAGACATCTGGGGGTGTTTGTGTCCCAGCTCAACCCATAATAGGCACAAAGACATCAAACATAGCAAATGTCAAAAACATACAGAATGGAATAGGTATCACTGTAGCTAAGAGACACATGAACAAAAATGCTCCAATATTTTCATGACTTGTCTTTGCAGTTAATACATTGTCCCATATAACCACTTGTATTATCAGTGGAAAGATGATAAACAGCAATGGTAAGTGCACTGAAGGCAGGCGATAATATGACATTATCAACATGATTATTGTCCAGACAAGGAAAGCAGCATAAAATGTTTCTACTTCTTTCTTCTCAATTTGGTTAGATATCCTTGCCTTAAGAGGAATGTTATCTTCTTTCTTCTCTGACACAGCTTTTTCCTGAGGAAAAAAACATTGAAAACACTGTCTTTTGGTAAATGTAATTTCCATCTTCATTGTTGGATCTGTGACTATTCCTCAATAAATTTATTAGATTTGAAGCTGATGATGAGATGCAGTATGGCAAAGTGTCCCACAACAAGATGAAAGATGCAGTCCAAACTTAAACTGGTAGGAAATGCTTATGCATAGCCCATTGTTGTTGTTTTTTTAACAAAATAAAATTCACTTTCAATGGAGACAAATAATGAAATTCAAATGAGCACAAACAAAGACTTGAGATTTACAGTTCACCACAATAACATTATGCAGACCAAAAAGGAGGCAAAACAATACTCACCTTTCTGTTGTCCCATTAACCCCTCAAGGAGACTAGCATCTCACATCTCCTCATGCTTTCCAGGTGTTTCAAAATGTTTTGAAGTAGGCATTAGAAAAATAAAGCAGAAGCATGAAGGCACTAGACAGGATTGTCGAAACGTTGGGTCTACGAATTGTAACTTCTTCGATTACATTCATTAAATCTGCAAACCAGAGTAGCATCAAACTATGCCAGCTAGATATATTGCGTGACGTGATTGTGCAAACTTTTCTCTTTGTCATACGACTTGTTTCACAGGTTCTACAAGTTGGAACCAAAATTAGTTAGTGTAACGAATTAGAATCGAAAGTTATTTAAATGGACTGAAGAATTTTACATTTTAATGAGAATTTTATCCTTTGAATGTTAACTTGATTCATGGAAAGCAAAGATTGGAGTGGCTTTGGGTATTTAAGCCCTAATTTGGAAAAAATAAAACAGTTAGTGGTATGTTCTAAACACCAGAACACCTGAGAGGACACTGGAAATGTAGAAAAAGTATTTTTTAGCATCCAGAACAAAAATGAGAATGTGAGGCAGTGAGAGGAGACTGAGTTTTCAACGCCATTTGTCGTGAAAGCTGCCACCAGCTTGTTATTGAACTCACTAAAATTTACCTGGAAGGCATTAACTTTCTTTTGTCGCGAAACTCATGGATTTTAAAACTTTGAAACGACGTACGATGAATCCTGACACTGGAGTTTGAGTCCATTGGTAAACTATGCTAGCTGGTCTCGTGAGCAGATCAAGCTCTGACGAAATTTGAAAGTTTTGAAGTGTTAAGCGGATGCAAAAATCGAGACAAAAATTCATTATGACACAATTTGTCCTTTGATTTTGTCAAGGGAATTCTGGTTTTGTCTGCTATTGCAGATAGCCCAGATAGGCACTTACGAACCAATTTTTAGATAAATAATAGCCTTCACTCTCGAGAAATTGCAAATATATTACCCATGTGATCCGACTACAACTTTAACTCCGAAAACTTCAGAAACATCTCCAGTCAGTCTGGCCTTCTTTTACTGCCTCACATTTTCCCTTATGCTGCGGCTGTTAACAAGTACTTTCACCGGATTTCCAATGTTTCTTAAAGTGTTCGGATGTTTAGAACATTATAGCAACTGTTATATTTTTTTCCATATTATGGTCAAAATGACCGGAACGAAACAAAATTAACTGGTAATCGAGGATTTCGCTGGATAGCTGGTAGTACTACAAACAACTCGATACGTCATCCCGGTTTCCCAGCGGATTTGGACCCCCTAGATTTAGACCCCGGTTCAAATCCGTTAGCGGATATGGACCCCCCTCCACGGATTTGGACCCCCCAATAAAACTGAGTGAAAACATCATCCTTAACGTTCTAGTAAAAATGGATGATACTTTACGTTCCAGCGCGTACTAAAATATGTTTTTAATTCAAAACATACGTATCGTTAATGTATACGAACTGGCATCCCGTCGGATGTTTCCTTTGACCAAGGGAAAATGGGCAAGAATTTAGTTTAATGTCTGGAGAAAGGTCGTTTTTTAACCTTTTCCGCAATAGCCGAACACCGCTAGATTTAATAAGAGACAAACTTGTGACACTAATTTATTTTGTCATTGTTCAATGCCCGAGTGTTGGAACGACATGGTACAGTGCAAGTTGTGAGAGGAATGGTTGCACACGAGCTGCGAGGGATTTAAGACTGCCCCGGAGGGCGAGTGGCTCTGCATTGTCTGCAGATTGCCAGACTCTAGACGTCTTCGTTATTGTTAAGGTGTTATTTTGGATCCCTCAACAGTTAATAATCGTTAAAATTAGAAAACAAGATTGAGTTCGATGTAATAGTCTCCACTTTTGTTAAGACGTTGACGTTAATGTTGATTTGCATCTGAAAATAAGCTGAGAGTTCCAATAGTTCAGAATAGAAACATTTTTACTTATCATAGGCTTTACGAACGACTTGTAATAGGAGTAGTTTCTTCGTTCTTGTTCAAAAACTGTTTAATCAGAGTTATTTTTGTGACTGGACGCAATAGTCTCCACTATTGTCATGACGTTTCGTGCCAATGTTGATTCGCATCAGAAGAAGCAAAGATTTATTGTAACAATTTCAATAGTTCGAATGGAGTAGTTTGTTCACATCTAATTCTTACGTATACTGTACGACTCGCTATAATAAATGCGGAAGAATTGGAACGAAATGGCTCAGGAATGTTGTATTGTGATTGAAACGAACATCGACAAAAAAGCTTGCAAAACCGGGGGGGGGTCCAAATCCGCTGTGACACCGGCATTCCAGGAGAGAAATCAGGGCTTAAATACCCAAAGCCACTCCAATTTTTGCTTTCCATGACTCAAGTAAACCTTTTTAAAAGTTAAAATTCTCATTTAAATGTAATTCAATCCATGTTAATAACTTTCGATTCTAATTCGTTACACTAACTAATTTTGGTTTCAATTTGTAGAAACCGCGAAACAGGCCATATGGCAAGGGGAAAAATTTGCACAATCACGTCACGCAATATATGAAGCTGGGTTTGTCCAGTTGATTTTGATGGTCGCAGGGTAATGTCGAGTTTGTCGCTCAAAACCGTTGTGGTCCATAAGAGCGTAACATCATTAATGACGGGAAAAAATCTGCTGAAAGGAGGGTTAGTTCATCGGGTTCCGTATACTTAATCTCGGGAGAAACTCCAAGAATTATTTCAGAATGTGTAAGTGTTGTTTTATAAATATAAACACTGTAACCTATTTTAACTTGTTTTTGTGTCCTTTTGTGTCCTTGTGTCCTAAATTACCTGCTATACTCTCCCACCGACGCAGCACGACAGTTTCTTTAGAAACTTACCCCCTTTATTCATTTCCCTAAGATTTGACCTTCCATTCATACAATTAACTGACCCTGGTACAACTTGTGTCGCTGCTGTGTTGTCTTAATTGCAAGAGGGCGAGGCACGCCCAATTGCACATGCCGCTAAGGCCTCAAGGCAGTCACAGGATAGCATTTTGAAATGGCGATGGGTTGATGAAAAGACAGTACACGTGAGCCTACAGTTGAAGGTCTCACAGCATTTGAAGGGAGATCTGCTAAAGGAGCTAGATGACGAGTGCAGACACTTGTCAGTGCGTAAGACTAGGGACGCTTTTACTGGTCAGGATATTCCGTACGGATGATGACCAGTGCAACGTGTCACACAAGTGGCGCCAGAAATGGGCCAATTCCTCGACCAAGGGCAATCTGTCATGGACGACTTTATATACCGCTTTGGTTATCCTCATCGAGTGCTTAGGGACGAAATTCAAAATTTTTAATCTCGGAATTTTCGTTGGTTACGCAGCTGGATTGAGCGCTAAACTGCTTATCTGTACGGTTGCCGATGTTATTTCCAAGATTGCAGAAGAGCGGAAAGAATGGGATCAGCACTTTCCTGAGGTCTCCTTTGCATTGGGAGTATCAACGCATGACTACAGGGTACTCCCCTAGGCGTTCTTGTCCGGCGGAACTGAGATTACCTATTGACGTAATGAGAGCCGGACCTACATCGGAATAACCTACTGATTATCCTTCTTTTGTCAAGGACAGCGTGAAGTCCAGGGAGGGGTGGAGGGAAATCGGGAGACCAACCCCCGAAGAATGTCTACAATGCACATTGCGACGCTGGTATCGATATCTCTCGAAATCTTCCATATCAAATATGGGTATTACGTCCAAGCGTGAGCTGCATAAGGCAGTAAACATCAACAAACCCCTAGGATGAACTCGGAGTTAATTAGAAAAAAAAATACGAAAGAACTGTTCAAATATGTCCTTTAAAAGAAAATGCGTTGTATCTAAGATACAAGATTAGATGTTTTTCTTTCTCCTGTGTATATCTGGAACGGCTTAAGTAGTTATACAACATTATGAACAATGCCATGAGGTAAGCCTCTACTCTTTTATTGCAGATATTATATAGAGTGTTTTACAATATTTTAAATACAGCTTAGCGTGTTTCGATAATGTACAGAAATAAACGCTCATCCTTGCTCTAACAACATTTCCACTTTGAAATAAGCGGTTAATTTCATCATACCAAGGGTCTATCAGCCACAACCCCTCTGAATACCGCTTTTTGTTTCTTGTACGAATCGAAAACATTGGCAAAATAATTAATCTGATTTTGGGATCACTCTATTGAGACGGTTCCCTCCGTTTATGAAAAAGCAGTTAACAATAACAGCAAGAAAGGTAGAGTAAACATATCGATAGCAATGCACTTTTTTGTTTTCCGATACCAATGACACAGATTTAAGCAATTTACGACCCATGTAATATCAATACTAAACTACTAAATATCTTACCATGTCTATAAAACCAGCAGGGGACACTTCAGTGCCATGATTGTCAATAACCCGTCGAATTGTTTCACTAGTGAACAGTAGTAAACAATTTGCCGAGTACAGAAATCTAAATAAACGAACTGTTTTCTCGTTTTTAACCTCCCTTTTTAAAATTCTGACTTAACCAGCTGTATCTAAATCGAGTTATCTATCAATTGCAACTTAAGAAAAAAACTGACTTAAAGGTGTCTTATCAAGGACACTGCTTTGATTTATTATGACACAATAAAAGACCCTTAAATTATCACTGTTATCACGAGTACACATTTTCTGATACTTGATGCACTACAAAGCGACTGAAATTTACTCTAGCGGTTAGGTTCCTGAGTAATATTCAAAATGTTACTGTCTAACGACGGTCGCTAGCCCATTTTCCTAATCTCTTCGCCGCGGCGTTCCTCGTGGCTCGTGCACCTGGTTCAGCATCTTCCTCTCCGAGATCTTCAACCTTGGAGTATTTGGTCGTGTCATAAGATCCCATGTCGAGCAGGTGGAGATATGTCTAAAGGGGAAAGCAATAAAAGAGGATTTTCATGATCGTCACAATGTTCTCTAACGTCAAGTCAAGAAGAAAATTATAATGACTACTTCAAAGCACACGAATGATCCTTGCGTTAAAGGCACGGAAGTAATGCGTTTTCTTACGCAGGTTGGCTGGTAAGTAGGAAGTTATGAATGTAGATGGGTAATTTGGTGTCATCAACCCAGTTTATAACGTAAATTGGCCACCGTAAAGAGTTTGCAAGCTAACGCTTTGAGCGTTAGAACTTTACCATTCGCTCTGACGAAGGGCTAACGCTCGAAACGTCAGCTTTTAAACTCTTAACAGTGGCCAATTTACGCTATCAACTCAGTTCAAAATACTAAATTACCCTGTTTTACTCTCCATCGACGCAGCACTACAATTTTTTCTAGAAACTTACCCCCTTTATTCTGAATGTAGATACTCAGGCAGTTAGGAAGGTAAGTAGAGAGAAGAACGGGAAGGATGGAGACAGATGGGTTCGTGGGCATCGGACATCTTAGCGCGTTTTATGTTTAAGTGGGTTAAAACTTGAAAAATATTGACAAGCTAGGGTGAATAGGAAGAAACGAAACCACAAGCAGGAGCTGTCAAAATGAAAGCTCAAGGCACTGAAATTCCCGTAAGCGGCCCCGACCGTAATTAGAAGAAACCAATACAATCCCAAATCACTTCTAGTAATCAGCTGAAACCAGCTTTAAAACATCAATGGTCTATGAAGTAATTGTAGAGGAATAAATAATCTTACAGGCCTACAAGGACGTCAAGGACTTGTTCAAATCGTGCTACAAACCTCTTCACGAAGGTAGGTATCCATTCTTTTTCGAAGGTTTTCAAAGGGAGGACGGAAGTCGGGATCAAAATTCCAGCACTTTTTCATTATAGCATACCTGGAATAAAGGAATGAAGGTCAATATTGGTCTGTGGTTTATGAAATATGTGATAAAAATCAACCAATACAGAAATCTCAAGAGAGCTCAGGGCAAATAATGGCTAAAATGGTAAGAAATGTCTGGCTGTAATAGCTGAAAATATTCATTTTATTTTTCAATATTCTTGAGTGAAAAGACAACTTTTAACTGAACAAACTGGTGACCGTTGTTAACTTTGTTTCATTTAACAGAGTTCGGTAATGAGGGAAGAAATCAGATTAGACAAGAGAAAGTGTTTTTCTCCGGGGCTGGGAGGATTGGGTGATTTAAAATGGAAGATGATAAGAGGCAAGACTCACAGTTTATCATCAACATGATCGGGCTTTGGAAGTTTGTATCCATGTGTGACTCGTGCAACCACATTTCCTTCTGACCATCCCTCATATGGAATTCCTCCTGCGAAGAAATAAACAAATTGTGGCCGTGATACTCCTGAATATTTCGTTTAAAAATGTCGAGATTTAAATTAGAGAGATCCAGTTCTAGTGCTTGACCGCAGCATTCGAAACATGATGTTTCCTAGCCTGATATTTTATGTAATTGATTGCCACTTTTCTACCAAGTAATTTGAAAGGTTTTTGTCATTTGAAGTCAAACACAAAATGCTGCTCGTCTTGTGTGACAGTCAGGGCGAGGAAAGTCCTGAAACAACAGTTCTCAGATACAGAGAACGAAACTTTGACAAGCTGAGCAAAATTTATCATTAGCGTAAACTTTGGCACTACAAGTCTTTCTGCCACAGCTCATCAAACTAACGTCTGCCAATTGAGTTTTAAAGGCATTGAAATTGACTAACGAGTTCCGGAAACGATACCTACAACATTTCCTGACATGGACGGACGGGAAGTATAAATATTTGTTGTTGAACATAGTTTGACTTACCAAGAGTAACTATCTCGTACAGAACAATTCCGTAAGACCACCTAAAAAAATTTCAAAAAAGTATTGTCAAGACATTCTCTAAGTGAGTGTTGGATATTAGCTTGTAAAGTCGAAAACCAAAGAGATGCAAAAATATACATCATACATACACGTCACTCAAGGTGGAAAGTCCAGCGAAATTCCCCAACAAAATCTCTGGTGCAGTCCATTTGATTGGCAAACAGCCCTGCAACGACAGGTTTGTTTAAAAATAAGTGTTTTAATACTAGCGAGTTAACAAAGGACATGCATGTAAACGTGAGGTGGCTGGTGCACCTCTTCCGAGACTTTATGAAGTGTCAAAATTTAGCAGTTGTCATAAATTTAAATGATAAAGTCAACTAACTCAGTTGTATTCTGTGGCATGCCAGAACGTGGAGCTATCCTCAGCTGGCAGTTAAAGTGAATTTTAAGCAGAGTTAGATCTAACCTTAGGAATCTGTTAGCAAGTGTCACCGCAAAAAGAAAAGCAAAGACGATCTACCTTTTTGGCATTTCCATGACCATATTTGAAGTTTTGATATGCCATGCCAAAGTCGGTCACTTTGCACACATAGTTGTTATCAAGGAGGACGTTTCGAGCTGCCAGGTCACGATGGATTATCTACCAAAAGACAAAGATACAAAATGTAAACTTAATAACAAATGCATGTCTTTTGTGAGAACTACCATGACCAGAGGGAAGATTATACAGACGTTTGCATGGGTTGTAAAGACTATTGTTCTTAGGGTGTTCATTACAGACCAAACATATACTAACAGAACTGTGACATCAGGTGACCCACTGAAAATACCAAAGGAACTCTTGAGAAATATTGAGAATATGAAACCTGCTTCCGAAAAGATTCATATAATTTAGATATATCTATATTCAAGCAACTCAAAAGGTGTAACAATCCCTTACAGATATTTCTACGGTAAAATTGAATGTAGAAGCATTTTAGTTACTTACCCCCCTTGATCCAAGGAATACCATACCGGCGGCGATTTGTTTGGCAAATAGCACAAGGTCATAGTTGTTCAAAACTTGAGGCCTTCCTTCTCCAAGATAATACCGATCATTAATTCCACGGCATTTTCTCATGTAACCAAGCAGGTCACCACATGGCAAATGTTCCATGATAAGGATCGGATGGACTTAAAATAACGCAAAGAAGAAACGAATCAGTATTAAAAAAAACAAACAAACAAACAAGCTAACATTCTCATACACATTTGAGATGTTATTGCATGTAATAAGAATGATGCCTTAAACTTAGTATGTACCTTGTCTAGTGACGCAGCCAATGAACTTCACTATGTTTGGCTGATTGCTGTCACCAAGAATTTTCCCCAGCTCGATCTCTCTCATCAAACATTTTCTTCCTTCCTCCCCTGCGGTCGCTACAATAAAAGGATATTCTTTATAGCCAGGGAATAAATCCTTGTTGACAAATTTTCTCGTGCTTGAAAATAAAAAACTTTGGGTGAGGATTTAGACCTCACATCTTGGGAGGTCCTTGAAGCCCAGTTGATGATGCTCACAACTGCAAAAATGGAACCGGTCAGCGAGCGAATCCTTTCGAGGAATTAATATTTCCTTTGCCTCACGATTGTGGCACATGCTTACCATCCTCAAATTTTTTATTGCTATCGATGCCTCTATTGTTCTATTGTTGCTGTTATTATAAAAAGTAACTTTGCATGAGTCTCTCAGAGCGCCTTAGTCTACCTTAGATAAATGATCACTGGAAAGTGCAAAGCAGGTCACCCTTGGCAAGAAAGTATCCATCTACGTGCTTTGAGAAGAGATACATGTAGTTGAATGGATCTTACGTGTAAAGCATTTAGCAGCAACTGTGCGATTTCCAGGTCTCCCATTTGGAGAACTAAGAAGAGCTCTCCACACTGCTCCAAATGCCCCTCGCCCAATGACATCTTGAAGCAGGATACGGTTCACTTCAATCTCCCATTCATCCACTTCTACATTCAACAGCTCCATCTCAACTGCCTCCCCTTGATCAGGACTAAATTTTATGAAAATCATACAATTTCTATTGATAAATCAAAGTATACGTGATCAAGGAAAAGAAGTTATGGAAAAGTTTTGAGTTTCAAAAATTATTTGACTGATTTCTTCAATTTATGGAAAAATAATCCCACTAAAGATAAAAAAAAAAACATTTTCTTGTGCAGAAAAACTAAAATTGTAGACTTAAATGTTCACGCAGACTATCATTCAAGTTAACTTTCCAAATGGAATGGTTGACATGAGAGTAAAATTTAAACCCCAACTTCATTAAAAAAAAAAAAAATTTTAAAAAATTCAATTTAGTAAATAGAAGGCAAACTAATTGACTTACAGGACCGTAGCAGGTGCTGTAGGTCCAAATGGCAAATCAAAAAGGAATAAAAAAGGAAAGAAGTTTTGCCTTAGCTTGAGTATTAAAATAAAAATGTTATATGCACATTGGTCAATTGTTAATAGAAGATTATAAATTAGATATAATCACAAGACAAGAAACAGTAGAAACATGCCAATAGTGTCTCTAAGGTTTTCTTTTTCCTGCAAACCGAGATGATAATAATACCTACCTAATAGCAAACTTGAGGAGAACAATTTAAATACGAGGTGAAGTAGAAGTAAACATAACCTGGTCAAATTTTTGCTTCTCACACAACGTACTGTTCTCTAGAAAAATTACCCTAAACAAGATAGGTAGAATGAGCTTTACCTGTCCTTTGACGTTTCCAAAAAAAGCAGCCTATGAGCAAAATAACAATGACAGCAGCCATTGATCCAACAATATAATACCACACCAGGAATGAACTCACTGCTGTTGGTGTAAGTTAAATGCATGGTTCTCAGCCAAATAAAAAAAGTAGTACATGTGATGAGAAGGGAAAGGTTGTTACTCAGTATTAGCTAGCTCTTCTGGATACTATTTTTCACTAGAGCTTTGCTGGCTCATTAGAAATGGCTACTATTTTATGGCAGAGATTCAAAGAAAGGTAAATCAGAACTATATGGAGAAGACCTAGCAAGAATCTTGTTTTGAATTAAGAAATAACCTGCCTTTTTGTTAAATGGATAGAGAGCAATTCCCTTTGCCAAATAGAAAACAAACAAATAACGATGATAATTATTTGGGTATCGAAATGGAGGTTCTATTGCATTTTACAGGCCAGGGGACCCATATTTTAATTACAGGCTTACACTCAACATCCGTACATGCATTCATACACAAAAAACAACAACAAAAACAAAACAAAGAAACAAACATAGAGAAAACAGCAAATAGCATGCTTAAAAGTTTCAGGTTCCATTTAGTCAAATGATTTATTGCTGTTAAATTTTAGATTGTTTCTACACTACAATAATACCAGCTTACGGTTGACTTTTATCATGACAATGGAGCGGTCCACATTTCCTAGTCTGTTAAGAGCTTCACAGGAATATTCACCACTGTCCTCCTCCACAACCTTTGCAATGACCAGATAACTTGTTCTCTCATCCAACTGTGTATCAATGACTGCCCTTTCTTTCATTGGGTCTCCATCTTTTTTCCAAGTGATATTTACTGTTGCTTTGTTGACGCTACAAGTTAACCTAAGTTTATCACCTTGAGTGATGGTTGGGTATGGATTTGGACTTAGTTTGGCAGTGGATCTTTCTGTGTTGAGAAAGAGATACTGTGTACATAACTTGGTTTTCGTAAAAAAAAATTACTCAAAATACCTTAGTAAGATTTCAAAGAGGGTTTGAAATACTTGCCCAAAATGTTTCTGAAGATTTGCCAAAGGATCTCAGACCCCATTCAACCGAATTTACAATAAATAAACTAAGACCCTGCCCTTTGTTTTTCATTATCAAGACATGTTTCCCCATAAAAAGCTACAAATCACTGCAGTCATCAAAAGCTTTTAGGTCAAGATGATCAGAGTGACCATAACAAAATGTCACAAAGTGATTATATGGAAGAGTCATCTTAAACAACTAGTAAATGGTGCGCGCACAACAATTATCTTTCCCACAATTCATTACAGTATTTTTCTTTGGAACATAAGTTTGTATTTGCAATCTTTGACTCTATTGTCTTGGGGAAATTCCAGGGGTATCAAGACTCCATCTCATTCTTAACAAGCTGTCAGTTCTTCTTGGGAAACTTTAGCCACTAGCCACCAGTTTCACCTTTATTTTGTGAGGAAGGTATCACTGATTATTATTGTTGCAGTGGATCCATCACCATCATTACCCTAATGGCTATTAAAATTAAGATTGCTATTACTATCATTATTACTATCACTATCATCCCTGTCAGAATTATTATCATCTTAATCATTATAATTATTGAACCTACCAAATACTTGAAGTTTTGTGGAATAACTTGTTCTATTTGCTTTGTTTTCTGCTGTACACTTGTATGTTCCTGCCATTTCTTTTGTTGCTCTCTGCATTTCCAGGGATGATTCCAAGAATGAGTCTCTCTCAAATTTCCTTTGATTAATACCCAATGGAAGTTTTCGGCCATCCAATGTCCAGGTCAGTTTTGGTCTAGGAACACCTGTGACACGGCAAGTAAAGTTGACTGGGTCTCCATCACTAACAGATTGGTTTACCGGAGACAATAAAATCTGAGGAGACACTGAAAATGAAAAGAGCACCACTGATGTTCAACATAAGTTTTCAAAATAAAATCGAATAACCACGAGTAATCTGGCAGTCAGACATAGCTTGATGCTACTCTGGTTTGCAGATTTAATGAATGTAACTGAAGAAGTTACAATTCATAGACCCAACGTTTCGACACTCCTGCCTAGTGCCTTCATCAGGGGTGATCTAAACGCTGAAACAAGAGGTCCTTTTATATGATCACTAATTAGTGGCCTATTTTCTGATGAGGTGTAAATAGGCGTCAGGAAGCAAACCGCCATCATCACGATTTAAAGGAGCGTGGGCAGAGTTAATATGCCAAGCCTCCAAACAAAGGCGCTGGTGGTAACGCCGATTAGTGGTGATAATTTTAGAATTATCCCACCCAATTGTATGGTTGGTTAGGCATGTATGCTCCGATAAAGCTGAATTTTCCTTTTTGCAAAGAGGGGCTGTAGGGGATATAACTAAAATAAAAAAATTAATTTATACTCATATGCAGAAGGCAATTGTCCATTTTGTATTAAGATATCAATAGGAATTACGTATCCAAATGAAAGATAAATTAATAAACAAATGAATAAACTCAGCTTGTGGAAATACTATTCAAATGTCCAACATAAACAAAAGTATCTCCAAAAAGCTACTATCTTTTCCTTTGAAGTTGAGTTCAGCTTCAGAAATGTTGATAAAAGATTAAAATGCAAGAGTAAAATGGAGTATGTATGTATGTATGTATGTATGTGTGAATGTGGGATATTTAGCTAGGCTGGCCCAGTTCAGCTCAAAGCTGCAATGACAAGGCTAGACCTGAACACCAGGAGCTATGTTCCCTACTCTTTGCAAGAAGTCTGTGGGTTCATTAAAGTCTCCTGCTAACCAGTGCTGAGAAGATGCAGGAGATGGGGCTTCTGGTTTATCCTCCTTATCCAAGAAACTAGAATGCCCATCCATTTGCCAATGTCATAGCAAAGGTAGCATATTCTCCTCATCTATTTTAGACCCTGTGTTGGTGCAGTTCAAGGCTTGACCTATCACTTGGTAGTACAGCAATCTACAATGTGAACTAACCAATCACTGTTTGTAAATTTTCATAAAATGATTTTGATTTACCAGTAACATCAATCCAGAAGGAGATGTTAACTTTTCCAACTAGATTTTCAGCAGCACATTCATAGAAACCTCCATCATCAAAAGTCACCCGCTTAATAACTAATGTATTGTTGTTACCAAGAGCTTTTCCATCCTTGGTCCAATTGACAAATACTGGAAGGTCGCCCCTTTCAAAACAGTCTGTTTCAAGTGTGGAGTTCAGTGGAACTGAAAGATTCTTGAGTTCAGGATTTAAATGTGGTGGAACTATAAAGAAAAATCAGAAAGAGTTATGATGAGATAATCCTCACAGGTACATAGATATCTAGATCTTGAATGTAAACACTGCAATCTTCTTGGGCAACCTTTAGCCACGACCCACCAGTTTCACCTCATATTTTGCGAGGAAGGTATCATTGATTATTATTCTTGCAGTGGATCCATCACCATCATTACCTTAATGGTTATTAAAATTAAGATTGCTATTACTATCATTATTACAATCATCATCATCCCAGTCAGTATTATTATTATTATCATAATCATTATTATTATTGAACCTACCAAATACTTGAAGTGTTGTGGAATAACTTGTTCTATTTGCTTTGTTTTCTGCTGTACACTTGTATGTTCCTGCCATTTCTTTTGTTGCTCTCTGCATTTCCAGGAATGATTCCAAGAATGAGTCTCTCTCAAATTTCCTTTGATTAATACCCAATGGAAGTTTTTGGCCATCCAATGTCCAGGTTAGTTTTGGTCTAGGAACACCTGTGGCACTGCAAGTAAAGTTGACTGGGTCTCCATCAATAACAGATTGGTGTACCGGAGACAATAAAATCTGAGGAGACACTGAAAATAAAAAGAGCACCACTGATGTTCAACATAGGTTCTCAAGATACAACTGAATAACCACAAGTAATCTGGCAGTAATTAGATGTAAGAGCAAATTTGGGAGTCTTCTAAGTACATGAATTTCTTAAGGTAAAAAAATAACCAGCATACTGTACATTGGAATAGCTAGGGAACACTACTAGAATAAAAAAATTAATTTATACTCGTATGCAGAAGGTAAGTTTCCATATCCTGTAAAGATATCAATATGAATTACGTATCCAAATGAAAGATAAATTAATAATCAAATGAATAAACTTGGCTTGTGGAAATACTATTCAAATGTCCAACATAAACAAAAGCATCTCCAAAAAGCTACTATCTTTTCCTTAGAAGTTGAGTTCAGCTTCAGAAATGTTGATAAAAGATCAAAATGCAAAAGTAAAATGGAATATGTATGTATGTATGAAGATGGGATATTTAGCTAGGCTGGCCCAGTTCAGCTCAAAGCTGCAATGACAAGGCCAGACCTCGACACTGGGAGCTACGTTCCCCACTCCTTGCAAGAAGTCTGTGGGTTCATTAAAGTCCCCGTTTAACCAGTGCAGAGAAGATGCCAGAGATGGGGCTTCTGGTTTATCCTCCTTATCCAAGAAACTAGAATGCCCATCCATTTGCCAATGTCATAGCAAAGGTAGCATATTCTCCTCATCTATTTTAGACCCTGTGTTTAAGTCTTGTCAAGGGCTTGAACTATTACTTGGTAGTACAGTGCTCTATAATGTGAACTAACAAAGCACTGTTTGTAAATCTTCATAAAATGATTTCGATTTACCAGTAACATCAATCCAGAAGGAGATGTCAACTTTTCCAACCAGATTTTCAGCAGCACATTCATAGAAACCTCCATCATCAAAAGTCACCCGCTTAATAACTAATGTATTGCTGTTACCAAGAGCTTTTCCATCCTTGGTCCAGTTGACAAATACTGGAAGATCACCCCTTTCAAAACAGTCTGTTTCAAGTGGGGAGTTCAGTGGAACTGAAAGATTCTTGAGTTCAGGATTTAAATGTGGTGGAACTATAAAGAAAAATTAAAAAGAGTTACGATGAGATAATTGTCACAGGTACATAGAGATCTAGATCTTGGGTGTAAACACTGCAATCAAATGAATGGTTGTGATGACCTGCAACCTGTTGCTATCAGTACATTACTTGCTTGGTTAACTCAAGAATAAAACATAGGCATGCTATGCATGCAAGTGTTATTTTTTGGGGTGGGTGGATTAATTGAAATATTGTAAGTGATGTATACATTTTTACAAAAGGAGAGAATGTTAATGCGGAAAAGAACAAAAATGTTGAATTAACTCACACACAGGTATGTTGTGGTCGATTGAAGGTGTTGTGCAAATAACTGTTATCAAAAATGATTATCAAATAGATTCCAAGTTGCCATGTATCTGTTCAGTAATAGATCACAAATGACGTCAAAATATGGTCAGAACAAAAAGTGGCACATGAGGCATAGCCAAGTGTGTCACTGATGTTCTTACCAAATTTTGATGTCCTCTGTGATCTACTACTGAACAGACGCATGTCAACTTGGAATCTATTTGTTTTATATAATAAATAATTAAAAAAAGTTTTAATGATGACGTCATCTATACATCTGTCCTCCAATAGATCATAAGTGAGAACCAATTAGAATGCATGCATAACTGAGCTTATTATATAAACTGTATTGGTGCCACGGATACCTGTTAGTGCAAAATTCAGACTGCAGACTGCAGAATGCAGAGTGCAGACCAGATATAAAATGTAGACCAGGTACAAAATGTAGACTGCAGACTGGGTACAAAATGCAGACTGAGAATTTGAAGTGTTTTTTTAGCCTAGTATGTGATAACATGTCATCTTACAACTTACCGAGCATCACGCAATCGCTTTTCCGCGATAAACTTTCACAATTATTTGCACTATTGTGCAATATTCCTGGCCCGTTTCTTGATCAAAATCGTTCTTAATATAATTTCATGTCTTCATATAGTCTTCTCACTTTGCGTTTGAGTTGGTTTTTGTGATGTCTGTACAGATGTTACCAACTTAATAAAAGTAGATGTAGACGTAAATGAGATGTCACTATTGAATATTTAACACGCGCAATATTAGATAAACAATTGACAGCTTTGCACATGGTCCATCATCTTTTTAAGCGGTATGTGTTTATTTTGTCGACTTAAATGCAGACCGAGACCAAAACTGTTCCTTCGACTTGATATATTTTTAAAGTGAGTAGATCACATCATATTAGCGTACCTCGGTAAATCATTCATTCTAGGTTACAGAATCAAATAAACGTGCTAACGATGGTATCTGAATTCGTCCTTAGCCTTAGCCTTAGCCTTAGCCAAACGACTCGACAAGATCACTTTCTCCAGGCATCAAAACATTTGCATTCGTCCGGTGTTCTCAAAAGTACCCTCGAAACAGCCAAAAAAATTTCCCTCAACAGCCAATAATGACACAAAATCCACCTTGCAACACACTTCTAACATCGAAAGACCCGATCACACCACAATGTTTACCATGAATTTGACTTCAACCAAACCAGCCATCTTTTGTAGAAAAATTGTTGTTCAATGAAAATACCTCTTAACATTGCATATCAATCAAACACGATGACACACGAGGCGACAAAGCTTCCTAAGAGCCAAACAAAATCGGCCATAGGTAATTTTAATCAGACACTCATCTAGAGATAGCACCAAGCAAACCAATCCAGAAAAATATAATCGGCACACTCAACAAATCATGAATCTTGCAACACAGCATGCCGTTAAAGAACTGCTCAAACCAAAATGTTTGGTGCAGTTCATCAACACCTCTAGCAATATTTGATTCAAATTTTTACGTCGTGAAGAAACAATAACCATGATCGTGCTGCAGTGTGCAAGAACTCCATTTTCTCTCGAACAACTAACCACCATTTCCACAGCATGAGAAACACGTTCACTATAGGTAATCTGATGTGTTTCATATGTCCAGTAGTATCGTATTTCTCATAAAGCGCGGTAAAATACACGTTCGAAACACAGAGAAGCCAATATTTCTCATTCTAAATGGTGATTCCATTTTGTGAGTCCCCCGTCAATTCTTTTAAATGAACACCCCCCAAACTAAAGAACAGAAACGATGCTCTGATTGGTGCGAGATACAAACCCTAAACGATCTAATTGATGTGAGCAACATACCAGTCTATACGCTACCATAAAGTTATTTATTTATTTATTTATTTTAATAACTCAAAGACCTTTGTCATCTCCTTGCCATTTACCTGAAAAATTTGACTTCCCATCAATCTGAGCGCGATATGTAAGTTCTAACTCATTAGGAGTTGGAGGAAACATTCGACAAAGCAAATTAAAGTGATGATCTCATCTTCTAAATTTTAGTAATTGCAACTACAAAGGACGGCGTACTACTTTAAGCTAGATTTTTGCCTGCTCATTACCTTATGAAAAGGTAAATTATAACTACGTGCAGATGAGCTGCACCATTCAAATCTTGTTTTGAATTGAGAAACGACCTTCAATTATTGAAATTTGGATATAGACCGACAGCGACATCCGAATAGAAAAAACAATCATGAGTGATGATATTGCAACAAATTATTTGGGTCTTTACAACTTGGTGTTACTGCTACTAAAAAGCCATATTGTAAATTCTGATTTACAGTTCCTTAATAAAAAGAATAGAAGAAGGAGTAGTTTCATTAAAAACCAATTACCTTTAATGGTTAATGATATACACTTACGTTTGACTTTTATCATCACAGTCGAGCGGGCCACATCTCCTAGTCTGTTACGAGCTTCACATGAATAATTCCCACTGTCGTTTTTCACAACCTTTGAAATATTCAGATAACTTGTTGTCTCCTCCAATTGCGTATCAATGACTGCCCTTTCTTTCATTGGGGCTCCATCTTTTTTCCAGGTGATATTTACTGTTGCTTCATTGACGCTGCAAGTTAATGTGAGCTCATCATCTGTGGCGAGTATTGATTGTGAATTTGGCCTTATTCGAGCAGTGGGTTTTTCTGTGTTGAGAAAGAGACAATTATCAGTTTAGTCAAAAACAGCTTCACTGATAATATCTTAGCAATGTAATTATCATGGACACGAAAGAATCCAAAAGCAACCCTCTGAACGGAAATTGTAGGGTAAATGGTGCTAATTACGGTGAAACCTGGCTTCAAAAGAGTTTTGTTAAAAGTCTCTATGGTGTTACCTGACCAAAATGAGCAGAGTGACCATTAAAACAAATGTTGCAAAGCGATTATATCAAGGAGTCACCCCAAACAATTGGTGAATTGCACATGCACGCACAACAATTATCTTTCTAAGAATTCATCATTTTCCCAGGATACGTTAAACCCAACCAGGTAGTTGCTTGCATTGGCTTTATTTTCTTATACAATTTTCAAAATTATGTTCGAAAATCAATCTCAAAACGGTTATTACAAAAACCATTCTTTACAACCTCTGGGTTATTTTTGATCGACCCTTAAACTAATCGCCATCTCCGACTTATATTTCATTTATTAGCACGGCTAACCAGTAATACACGCGTATCATTTCCGTTTGCAATTTTAAAAGATAAAATATAAAAAAATAAAAGGATACCGCGAGAGGTTCCTCGCTCATGAATCAAGCAACGGAAATTAATTACTACCACTTACCAATTGTTCATTTTTCTTAACAGTTCAATAATACTTCTGTGTGGAGAGTTAGGCACCATGCAAGTGAAGACTTTCATCCGCGAGGATATTACAAAAATGATCTTGCTCAGCTAACCAGCAGTACATATGTGTAATATCGATATGCAGTTCGAAATTTTAAAGTTAATGTTGAAAAAAGAAAGAGATTTCAAGAGGAAAACCCTCCGACTAGATGGGGGGATTTCCTTACCCAGAAGGCAGCACAGAAGATCCTGGCCAGCGTTTAAACCCACAGCAATTAGCCCTCGGTCCATACGGCCGCAGGTTACACAACTGAATGATTTAAAATGCAATTTTAAAGCTGAAAACTTACCTTGAACAGAAATATAGATATTTTCAGTGGAAATTCCCCCACTATTATTTGCTTTACAGGTGTACAGACCTGCGTCTTCCTTTGTTATCTTATTAAAGGAGAGAGACGTGTTGTGTCCTTGAGATAAGTTATTCTTAAGCCAAGTTATCTGTGGCTTAGGCCGACCTTGAATGATTTTACAAGTCAAAGTCACTATGTCTCCTTCTCTGATTAGATTGCTTGCTCCTGAAACACTCACCTCTGGTCGAACTTTGAAAAAACAAGTAAAAAAGTTAAAATACATTGGCCTAGTTATACACACACAATATAAATATCCCACAAGGCAATTACCTTTTGGGTTACTATAATCAATCTACAAATTAGACAATGGATTTTGATCTGAAAAAATTTTGAATAACCAGATGGAAGTCCTTTTCTAACGGCTAAAAACAATAAATGATTGGAACACATAAAGTGACCTCACAGAAATGTCTATCGGCAAAAAAATTAAAGACCATACAAAAATACTAAAGATTGTATTAACCTCAATAAATGAAATAAAAAACCCATCTTACCAGCATTGTTTGATGGGCAGCTGTTCAAGTATAATTTTGGGCCGTTTTTACACCTTCAACTTCAATATAAACTAACCATGGAAAACAACCTAATTTTTCATGTATGTTATATTTTTTTAAAGAGCAATCTTTGAGAAAGGACCAGTACATAATCAATCATCAAAGCAAGAAAGGATGTTTTGGCGAGGTCTACCGCTCGAATTATGATCAAGTGTATAAGGGTACCTAGAATAAGATGTACAAAAGAGAAGACTGAAACAGATATGACAACAGAGTCCAAAATACATAATTGATTAGTACCTTCGCAGTATTGCGATTTGTTTAGGAAGCTTTCTTCACATTTAGTCAAAGTGGTGGTGCAGTTGAAATTAGTAGATGTCTCTGATACATTGCCACTGTTTTTATACCATCTGCCATAATCATCGCTGTTAGAGTATCCCATTACCATGCACGTCAAATCTACTTCAACGTTATTCCAGGTACTGGTGCAAAGCTTTTTCCAACTGCTATCTGAATAGATTTCCATTGTACCAACTGATAGGTTCCTTTCCGTTTTAAAGCGCAGAGGAAATACTGACGAAAGAAATAATATAAAAGTATATGCATATCTTGAAAGGCCCTCGTCAAGAATCCACAAATTTCAATTATTTTGCTGATGATTCCCCCAAATAGATACTTAGTTTCATATGGATACTAATTCTAGGTGTTTTAGAAACTTAATCATCAGCCTTAAGTTACAAGGTATCTTTTAGGATAAGTAAAAAAAAAAACATTTAATATCGCTCGCATCAGACATTCCATACTATTTTATCAAGAAACTAAATATTTCAGTTGTGACTGAGAAGAAATTTAGCGCTAAATGCTTATGGATGACAACAGTGAACACTATAATGAGAATAATAACAACATAAATGATGTTACTAAAGTAACATAAAAAATTTGCAATAATAATGATAGGGATTGGATGATAATAATAACGATAACGACGATGATCTTAATTATAATAATGAGTGTGAGAATGATAAGGATAATAGCAATGAAAATAACTTCATTCAAGCTGCGATGTAATGCTAATGCTAATTTTGGACAAGGTCAATTTATTAAGATGTAGATTTAACGGCAAAGGCTTTTGACAGGACTTAGTCTATTTAATATAGGGTTCAACTATGATTAGACTTCGGACCATCCATGATATCTGCGATTAAACTAATGTTACCCAATGCAATTAAAATTCACACGCACTGATTTTACCATCTGTATGTTACCTTCATGGCAGCGGGAAATTTTGTTACATTCCCTCACAAGTGCTCTGCTCCCATTACAATGTTCCCCGCCATATGCTGGTTTTGGATTGGAACATTCTCTAAACCTTATCTGTATGCCACTGACTGTTTTAGTGCAAATACTCCAGGGACTCCACCCATTCCAACCACCATTGACTAAACATGTTTCAAGAACAAGCAGTTAGGAAAGAACTTTACCTTTGGAAGCCTACGGATATTGCAAATTGCATTCACACATATTGCTAATTCATTCAATATTTTGACCATTTCAAATAAGAATAAGGCATGAAAGAAACTTTACAAAACCTAAATACCAGCATATGGTAGAAACCTTACAGCCACTAAACATTGATATCTACATTGATATTGCAAATTGCATGTGTATATAATGCTGATTCATTCAACCTTTTGAGCAAAGCAAATAAAGATAAGGCATGAACAGAACTTTACCAAATCTAAATAGTAGCTTATGGTAAAAACCTTGCAACTACTAAACATTGATATCTAAAAAACTATGTAAATTAAATTAAAGGTGCATAGAGCACCTGGAACCAGCAAAATTAACAATCAAAATGATAAAAGATTGTTGGTTTTACACTGATTACACACTCTTACCTGGACAATGATTGGTGTTGCAAGATTGATTCATGCGACTAGGTCCATGACACCGCTCTCCACCCAACTCTGGGGGAGGATTTGTACAATTGCGCATTCGGCTCTGCGATCCACCACCACAAGTTAGGCTGCACCTCTCCCATGGCTCCCAGGATGACCAGCTACCATTACCTATATTTATATCAGAAATTTAAATGATTGACAAGTTAAAGTGACTCAAAATATAAGAAGTGCCTGCCACTATCGCAAATTGCATGCAAAAAAGCATTGCCCATTCATTCAAGTTTTTGATATCGTATCGAAGAGGTAGCAGAATACTTGATAGAAAACTGAATAAAGGTGAGGAGATTCAATGTAAAAACAACCTTTTGAAAGTAAAATGAATTCACCATGCTAAGGATGCTCATTAAATATCATGTAAACAATTGATGTAAATCATCAAAAAAGCCAAGCTGATATTTTGAATCGATTCCATTCTTGTCAGATAGCATTAATGTAAAAGGAAATCAGGTTATTTTTGTATTCTTAAAGTAGTCACTTTCGTGCACCAAAGAATATATAGAGGATTTAAATGATAATAATAAATATAATGTGATATCATGTAAAGAAAACTCCTTTTTCTTATATCAATGATGATATTAATTTGAAATCACTTGTGATCCATGCCTTCTGATTGGCTGTCATGGGCGGGATGAACTTTATAGGATTAATTAATTATGAGGATATTATTAGAACTTTATCGATACTCCATATAACGGTAGCTATTGCACCATTACCTCATGAAAAGGAACAAGCCAAGTTCTCATTAACTATTATGTAAAGTATGAAGACACTTACGATCTGATTCATTCCACAAAATCCAGATGAAAAGTAAAAGGATAGTATTAATTGTGAAAAGAAAGTAGTTTTCGGAGGGATTAATTTTATTCATTTTCGTCCTAAAGAAATATCAGAATCCTAGATAGAATTCTCAATTAAAGTAGGAAGATTTAATTAAAATAATAATAATAATAATAATAATCTTTTGAAAGTAAAATGAAATCAGGTTATTTTTGTATTATTAAAGTAGTCACTTCCGCTCACCAAAGAATATAAGAGGACTTAAATGATAATAATAAATATGATGTGATATATTGTTAAGAAAACTCCTTTTTCTTATATCAATAATGATATTAATTTGAAATCACTGGCGATCCATGCCTTCTGATTGGCTCTCATGGGTGTGCTGAACTTTATAGGATTGATCAGTTATGGGGATGTTATTAGAACTGTATCGATACTCCATATAACGGTAGTTACTGCACCATAACCTCATGAAAAGGAACAAGGCAAGTTCTTATTAACCATTATGTAAAGTATGAAGACACTTACGAGCTGATTTATTCCACAAAATCCGCATGAAAAGTAAAAGGATAGTATTAATTGTGAAAAGAGAGTAGTTATCTGAGGGATTCATTTTATTCATTCTCGTATTAAAGAGTTATCAGAATCCCTGATAGAATACTCAATTAAAGGTCCATTTCTAACTTTGATGCAACGCGCGCCTCGACCCAATATCCTGTAATACGAAATTCCCAGATCACTGAAAACCTTCTAAAATCGTCTTTCTCAAGAGCCATCCTGGACATATAGTCAACTGTTTTGTAGTAAATACATTCGCCGTTCGTCATTTTACAGTTTCCTTACAGTATTTTGAATTTTGTCCAATAGGATCCGAAGAAAAATTTTTTTAAGTTTCACGCTTGGATCTCTTCGTACTCTTTGAACAAAGTCGGCGAAAAGGACAACGTTCGAATTTTTTCACTTTCTAAAAGCGCTTGAGGATTGTAAATGAAGATAAAAGATTTTCCAATAGAGATTGGTATTTTTCAAAGAGAAATATGGAAAATATCAGACTGCCGGACGTTTAGTTATTCGAAGAGAGGATTGTAAATGAAGGTAGAATATTTTCCAACGAAAGATTGGTACATTTCAAAGAGAAATATGGAGTTATTTGAGGATCGTGTCCAGCTGTGTCATTGTAAAGTTTTTAAGTGTCAAGCGTTTGGATGGCTGTATACAGGGTTAGCGAAAAATATCAAGTTCGAAATTTTAGGCTGCCTGGAAGCGCTTGAGGATTGTAAATAAAGGTAGAACATTTTCGTATAAAAATATATTTTGGATTTCGAAGAGAAATATGGAAAATATCGGACTACCGGACGTTTAATTATTTTAAGTTTAGTCACTTCATTGCAGGAACGCCAGCGACACTGACGGTTTGCGTTACAATTCTTATTTGCTGCTTTGTATGGACAACAACCTCGACCACTCTTTCGAGCGCAAGTTCCTCTCCACGGGCAGGAAACTTCAACTGACCCTTGGTCCTATTTAACAAGGTGGCAAACTTCAATTAAAAAAAAATTGATGAATGAATGAATACGCGGTGGATCAACATTTTAACCTTCTTTGAAATGCTCGCAAGGATTTTCCTGTTCCTCTTTAGCAACAACCGATCCATAAGCGTTTACTGCCTCAGAATCTACTAAATCAATGGATTCATCTGATTCCATACCGGATTAAAACGTATAGAACTGTTTTAAACACAATTATTTTGACAAGCTCTTCAAACTCATCGAAGAAAACGCAGTAGGTATTTTTAGACAACGTGACAAAGTTAAAATAACTGACCAATCAGAGGCGCTATTTAAGCAAAAGGGGTGGTTCAAAACAAAAACAAACGACCGCATTGCATCAAGGTTGGAAATGGGCCTTTAAAGTAAGGAGATTTAGCTAAGCTAAGGCAATAACTTTTTGAAAGTAAAATGAAATCAGGTTATTTTTGTATTATTGAA